ACTTGAAACAGCCCCCAGCCCCAGCTTCCCTGTGCTGGTGCTCCTTAGCAAGGAGGGAACACTGACTGAGCTTTCAGACACATTTTAGGGCCCCATTTGGAGGATCTGAACATGAGAATAATGCACATTCACAAATATCTCATATTCCATCAGCACAGCTTCCCCTTCCCTGCTTATTTTGCATTTCATTTTCTTCTGTGAGTCAAATGGAGACAGAATATCCCATCTCTGGGAGGGAGCAAATGTCCCATCAAGCAAAACAGGAACTTGTGGATGAACTTGTGCTCTCCAGACCAGTCCCTCCACAGATAAATAAACCACAGGGAAATTCAGGTTATCAAGCAATTCTTATGGCTTTGATAGACTAGAAATGGAAAATGTGAAAGGAAAATTATCTCCAAGTAGTTTAAAGTGACTGTAGAAATAAACTAGCTTTTTGAAATGATAAAATACACAATGATATTTCTATTTAAATTCTGATTTTTATATTTATTAGCAACAAGCATTTAAACTTCCACATCCTCACCTTGTATCCCTTTTTAAAATTACGTAAAACAGGATTTTCTGAAGAATTTACAAAAAAATTCAAGAGAAGAAGGAAAACGGGCAGGGTGCTCTCCCACAGGCTCATGGTTCATTTTTCCAGCAGGTTTTCCTCTCTGTAGCATCCTGTGATCAAAATAAGAACCACAGTGGCACCTTCCAGACTGCAGAGAAATCATTACACTGGCAGATTTGCAGGATCCCATTATCAGGACTTATCAAATATCTGCATTTCTATTGGAAAATAGGAAATTGCTGTTGAAAATGAGGCAGAAAGACCGGGATGGGAGGCATTTTACCCGTGCAAAATTCAGGTTACATTCTACCAGACACATTTATTTCCCTCTTTAGGAACACAGACAGTCCCTCTGGGACTCCCCCTTCCTCATTCCTTCAGCATTCCTGGCTCTTTTATCCCATTTTCCCAGGTGTTTTCTGGCAGGGGCTGCACTTTACCCCTCCCAGGTTAAGTTTGAGTCCAGTGGAGCTTTGAGCCATGAAAACCAGGCTTGGGAAGCTTTTGGAGCCAGCAGAAATCCAGGGATGACACCCCATTAGCATTCCCAAAGGGAATTTAAATTTTCCAAAACTCTTTTTTTTTGGCATCCACACTCCAGGGTACCACAAGAGCCAACTGCAGCGCTGATTTTGGGATGTTTTAAGCTAAACCCAGTTAATGACTGGTACCTGAACTGGTGGTTCTTGCTGAGCTCTCCTCCTCCTCTGCCTTCACAAGCTGCCCTCGCTGTCCTGGGCATCCCATGAGGGATCAATTGATTGATCCCCTGAGGGATCAATCACCATTTCACACCAGGGTGTCCCTGCCAGGACATGGGGATCAGCTTTAAGCTCCCTCCCCACCCAACCCAGCCCATTCCAGCAGCCTTTGGTTCTACAGATTGCAAACACGGTGACAAAAATCAGAAATGATCCTCTTCCAAAGCCACCAGAGATGGCAGAATAAGCCCAGGCTCTCCTGATCCCTCCTGGGACAGCAGATCTGCTGGCAGAGGAGCAGGAGGATGCTCCTGACCCCTGAGCCCCACCTCACAGCTCCCAGGTGGGCAGAGGGGAGCTGTAAATCCTCTCTTCAGGCACTTGGCAGAACTAATCTCCTTTAATCTCTTCTCTTTATGGCACCTCCTCGGGCTGACAAAACTGTGATTTATGGACTGTCAGCAAAGTCCACAAGGCCAATATCTTCCTCCAGGAGTTCCCTTCCTCCAGCAGCTGCCAGTGGCAGGGAGGGGATTTAAAGGCAGCATTTCACCCACTGGAGCCTCAGAGCTGCACAGAGTTCCAGCAGCAGCAGCGTTCTAAGGCAATAAAAATGCACGTGTAGTGGGTAAATTAATAAAAAATTAGGGCACTGCTTTGTTGGAGTGCTTTTCCTGTAAGGAGAGTGGAGCAGGGCATGGAAAGCACAGCTGGGAGCTGTGGGAGGTGTTTGTGCACCCCTGGTGCTGTGGCAGAGCCAGGGACCTGCAGCACTTTTTTCTTTTTCAGGGGTATCAGCCCATGCCCTGGGCAGTGGGAGGCAGAGCCAGGGACCTGCAGCACTTTTTTCTTTTTCAGGGGTATCAGCCCATGCCCTGGCAGTGGGAGGCAGAGCCACCCCTGGCCCCGTGGCTCTGGCACTGATCAGTCCTGGGCTCCATCCATTCCCTCCCTGCTGCTCTCCAGGGAAGGGCTTTTGTGCTTCTTGTGCAGCAGTTACACTTCGAGGCTGAAAAGAGAAGAGGCCCTTGAAGATTCAGAGGGTAAAAATAATTACCTGTGATTCTGAAAATCAATATCTTTTTTTAATTAATCTGGCAAGACCACATCCAACTAATTAGTTAAGGAAAAAATTATTTATGTAAGATTAGTACTTAAAAGTCTCCAATAAGATATTCATTGGCACAGTATTGAGGGGGGAATTGTGAAGTATTAACTGACTTAGCACAAACAGATCGAAAAAACAACAACTATTCTGATTTGAAGGAAGTCAACAAGAGAGGAGAAAGCCTTTTTACAAGAGCATGGAGTGACAGGACAAGGGGGAACTGCTGCACAGTGACAGGGGGCAGGGACAGATGGAATATTGGGCAGGAATTGTTCCCTGGCAGGGTGGGCAGCCCTGGCACAGGTGCCCAGAGCAGCTGGGGCTGCCCCTGGATCCCTGGCAGTGCCCAAGGCCAGGTTGGACACTGGGGCTGGAGCAGCCTGGGGCAGTGGGAGGTGTCCCTGCCATGGCAGGGGTGGAACAAATGCTCTTTAATGTCCCTTCCACCCCAGAGCAGTGTGAGATTTTATGAATAACCTGAGGAAGGATATATATTACTTCCAGGAATAACCTGGAAGGAACTCGCAGGGATCACCAAGTCCTTCCAAGGTTTAAGGTCCTTCCAACCCAAACCATTCCACAATTCTGTGGCTGTACAGACCAAAACTGAGTTACAGCCAGACCGAGTGACTGACCCTGGGGTCACACAGACCATGTGCAGCAGAGGCAAAACCAGCACCAGCATGTTCCAGACCATTCCAGTCATTAACCCCCAGCTCATCCCTCCTCTCCCCATCCCTGAGCCATTCTTTCCGTGCCTCAGGACAGGGGCTGGAATTCCAGTGCAGTTCCACAGCGTGTTCAGCATCTCATCCCAAAGGGCTCCACTGAGTAAAGCCATTCCCATGCACAGGAGCCTCTGCACAGCTGCTCCTGGGTGAGAAACATCTCAAAACATGCCCCCTGCGAGGGGAGAAGCAGCTGCCCCCCTCTTTCCTCCTACATGTGTATTTTGCATCTGTAAACCATAACCATATGATAAAAGCACTGCAAACCTCGGTGGAGCTCGGAGGCAAAAGCGATCTGTTTTGCTCTGCCAGTTTGAAAATGGTTTTCTTGATGAAACTCATGAGTCTGCTGGAGACTGAGACACAGATGGATGAGCTGAGCATATGATAAACCTGCTGCATGAGGTTGTAGTTAATTGCCCATCATCTTTTTTGTCTCCCCATAAAACATTTCACGCCCACCTTGCACAGTAAAGGTAACCCGAGTGTCACAAACCATTTGTCTCCTGAGCTGCCCTGCTGCACTCCCCACGCTGAGAGAGCCGTGGAGACAAGACAGATCTGCTGAGCCCTGCTGCAGACAGGCACGCTGCATCTTTGATCAAATGATCTCCATTCTCTAATGAGAAGAAACACCTCCCAGAGTCATTTGCATGCTAATATCTTTATTTCTAAGACAATAAACAGGCTGTGACTCCAGTCAGCATCGACACTGCCTCTCCATGAGCCAAGGAACCAAGTCCCTTCCCCTGGGCACAGAGGGGACTTTGGGGCACAGAGAGGGGCAGAGGGGTCCAGGACAAGAATCTTCCCTGGGTGAGAGCCCATCACTGCTGGGCTGTGCAGGACTTGGGGATCCCTGGGAGTTCCTTTCAACTCAGGTTATTTATAAAATCTCACTGCTCTGGGGTGGAAGGGACATTAAAGATCATTTGTTCTACCCCTGCCATGGCAGGGACACCTCCCACTGTCCCAGGTGCTCCAGCCCCAGTGTCCAGCCTGGCCTTGGGCACTGCCAGGGATCCAGGGGCAGCCCCAGCTGCTCTGGGCACCTGTGCCAGGGCTGCCCACCCTCAAGGGAAGGATTTCATCCCAGCATTTAATCTAAACCTACCACTCTCAGCTTTAAACCATTCCCCTTGTCAGCAGTGCCTCTCTATCCTTCCTGGATTTCTGCAATCACATTTTCCATCCTGCCCTGCCCTCGGAGCTGCTGTTGCAGCAGGGTCAGGGGGGCTGGTGCTGCAGGTACCCCAGAGCTCCCCACACCATCACCCCTGCATTCCTCTCTCCCTCCCTTTTTCTTTTCACTGGGGGACAAAAGCTGGCAGAGGCAGGTCATTTCAGGGCAGCAGTGAGAAAGACAAAATGCTGGCTACCAGCACAGCTCTGAACGTGCCCTCAGAAAGCTCTGCTGGTGTTCTGCTCCTCCCTGCCACAGCTCAGGGGCAAACAGTGTCACTGTGCTGCAGTGCTGGCACTTGTCCTGCCTCCCAACATCCCTACTTGTCTGAGCTGGGCGATTCTGGTGGGCAGCACTCACTGAGCAAAGGGAAAAGGGGGAAAGGAAACCTCCCTTGCACTGAGTCAGTTCAGACCAACTGGAAATGGAATTTTTAGGAAAAATTTTTTCACAGAAAGAATAATAAAGTACTGGGATTGTCTTCCTAGGGAGGTGGTGGAATCACCATGTCTGGATGTGTTTAAAAAAAGACTGGAATTGGTACTTGGTGCTATGGTCTATTGAGGTGTTAGGGCATGGGTTGGACTTGATGATCTTGGAGGTCTCTTCCAACCTCATTATTCTGTGATTCTCTGACTCTGTGATTCTGTGATTCAGTGACTCTCTGATTCAGTGATTCTGTGACTCTGTGACTCTGTGACTCTGTGACTCTGTGATTCCGTGACTCTGTGACTCTGTGATTCAGTGACTCTGTGATTCTGTGACTCTCTGAAGCCTTTCCTCCATCGGAGCAGGCCCTCTGGAAAGCCCCAAACCCCCCAGAGGTGGCAGAGCTTCCCAGGAAGTTCCTCCTGAGCAATGGAACCTGGGAGGAGGAAGGAGCAAAGGCAGTTAAAGGAATTAGCCCCACTTTCCCCAGTGTGCTTTCCAGTTCCTGGCCCTGATTTACAGGATGGAAATCTCCAGCAGAGAGATGTTCCCTGCTCCCCTCAGGGCACAGCTTGCCTTTCCCTGCCCGGAGCAGCAGAGAGCTGCCAGCACAGGGCTCCTGCTCTTGAAAAGCTGCTGGGAACAAGGAGCACTCTGCTGAACACCTAATTTTGGAATTTGCTGAATAGCAGCAGAAACGGCTCAGGGAAGAGGAACAAACTCTCCCAACATCACTGTGCAGCCTCTGCTGAGGCATTAACAACACCACAGATCACACAAGTGGGACCTGGATTTGTTGTATTGGGTTCTATATATATAATATCGATTATATTTTGTTATACTGGCAGCTCTCCAGAGGGACTCACACAAAGTCTTCACCTTGCTAATGAAGCTGGTATTTTTTATATCTGAGCATGCAGACACATTTGGTTGATTCTGGTTATGTACTTATGGGTGTGTGTCCTTACAGCTCTCAGTGCATTAAAATTGCATGGTTGCACTGCCCATTTGATATTTCACCTCTTTTTTTAGCCTAAAACTTAGTTTTACTCTTTGAAAATATAAGAATAATATCCAAAGGTAAAAATTATATTTATCTAAGACTATGAGTATTATAACCACTTGAGAAGTGATGGAAATGATTAAAACCACTCCTGTCCTGATATAAGGCCAAGAATGGAAATAATGTTGTTAACAAGGAATTAGAAAGCCTCTCCCTCTCTCAGGTTTCTGTGGAAGTGCCTCAGAGATGCCCATTTTCCCCATGGACCTGAGAAGAGCCATTCCACACGCTCTGTTTTTCTTTCTGACTGCATTAAAACAAACACTCAATGGAGGGAGTTTTTCCCCATCTCTTTCAAAAGGCTGCCACCATATGGGGGATTGGTTTTAATACAAGGCTTAGTTTGGGATTGGTTTTAATACCAGGCTTAGTTTGGGATTGGTTTTAATACCAGGCTTAGTTTGGGGTTTTGCAGGTAGAGCTTGCTGGAGCCTCAGCTCAGCCTTGGGCCCAGGAGGGGAACATCCCTGGGAATTGTGGCACAGAAACAGCTCTGTCCCACAGAGGGCTGGGATTACCTTCCCCTCTCTAAACCTGCACTTACTGCTCCACGTGGCATTGTTTTTGTTCACGTCTCACCCATTTGTGTCCCACATCTCTGTGGGTTTGGAACTGCAGCATTCCATCTCTGCTTGAGGGGACGGATCCTTGTCACCAGCTCTATTCCCTCCTCTGGCTCCTGCTCCGTGCAAGGTGGCCCTGTCCATGGCAGGGTGGAACCAGATCAAGTTAAGGCCTCTTCCAACCCAAACCATTGTGCCACTCAGTTATTCTGTGGCAAAATGAGCTCACCTGCCCAGCAGGAGTGTGAGGATACCCTGGATCCAGAGAAATGGCATTCCCAACCCATGCACAGCAGTGGGTGAGCAGTGCAAGCTCTTACTCTGAGAAGAAACATGATCTAAGGTAAAACACATTGTCTTTCTATGGGAATTAAGAATTAAAATGAAGAAAATGAGAGCAGGTGAAATGAGGGAAGCATAAAGCCTTTTGTTTCATTAGAATTTCCCCACCAGATCTGACACCATTCCACACTGGAGCACATCAGTTGAAGAACCAACCCCAAAATAGTACTTGAATTTGATAAATAAAATAAATCCCCATCTCTCGGTGGAACAGATTAAGCCAGAGGTTCTTCCTATCAAGCTATAAATGTCATGTGAAGATCAAGTTCCCATCTCACATAAGTGCTTGTCCAACAAAGCACAGCAGTGCCTTCCCAGGGAGTTATAAATTGTATTAAGGTGTGATGGGGAGCACTGGGCTGTCTGGGTGTGGAGTAGTACAGGTTTCTAGTGTGAGGCTTAGGCCACCTTAAGACAAAGACAAACAATGTTCGCTTGCCAATCAGAGTGCCTTTATAAACTGTAAACTATATAGAAGTGTATATAAACTGCCATCTTCTAACTAATAAACAGAGAACGTTTAATTAACCATATTGGTTTGACGTGTGTTTGTCCTGTCCAGCTTTCCTGTCTTATGAGGACCCTGGGTTGGGCACCCTGCGCAGGGAGGGATTCAAGAGGCAGCACAGCCTCTGGAAATCCAATTCTCTCCTCGTTACCATTCTCCCAAGAGTCACTCCAGTGTTCAGAGAGGGGTGAGGAACATGCAGCTTGAGGCAGGAATGTGGACAAATACAGGAATTGGCCTCACAGAGAGGAAAAAGGGGGCTCACATCACCCCGGGTCAGTCCTGGAGCTATTCTGAGCACACCAGGATAAAAATGATGGCTGAATCTGAGCAATTCATTCCTTGAGCCATAATTATGTGAATGGGAAGGTATTTTTTCCTGCACCTTTCTTGGCCCAGCAAACTGTTGGAAATAAGATGTCATAGCTTTTCCTGGGGATCCCTCTAGCTCTAAATACGTATTGGAGGAAATATTTCTGGGATTGTATGGAAAAGCATCTCCTGCACACTGTAATTGATCTCTGTTGATCCCCACAGCTGAGAACATGGCCCTGTTCTCCCTCATTTCCCTTCCTGCCACACACACCTGGATCTTTCTGTCCACAGCAGAAAGCTGCCTGGCCCTCTCAAATGTCAGGGGGCATCACTGGGATTTTTATTGGATTCCTGTAGTGCCACTGGATGCTGCCAACAGTGATATCCCAGCCTGAGGTTTTGCTTGCCTCATAAATTCAAAGTTTTCTTTCACAGCAGATGTGGAGCCTGTGTGCTGTGCTACTCTGGAATAGAAGACAATGAAAGTAATAAATTCAATATATTCAGTTCATTTTACCTGGATCTGGCTCCACCAGTTCCCTTGAAGCCTGGTGCTGTTGGAACACTCTGCTGATGCCTCCACTGCAGTCAGGGGCTGAAAAAGGAGGGGCAGACGAGGAAAAGAGGCATTTTCCCAGCCCAAAGAATGAGCTGAGTGTGCCCAGCTCCATGCTGAGCTCCAGCAGCTCAGGCCAGAGCTGTAAAACACTTGGGCTGCACAAACTCCTGGCTTTTCCTCACACACAAAGGAGGATTTTACCACATAGCAGCTGCTGATGCCAAGGCAACTGGAAAGATAAGGAGTGAGAGGAAAAGTTATTACATTTAAAATGTTATCATTAGCAACAACAGGTTTAAAAAAAACCATCATAAACTATTGCCTGCCATGCTCCCTTCCCACTGCCATGGAACCAGCAAATGTTCCGGATGGTCCTGCTGAATGTGGAGCTTAAATGAAGTTTTATCTCCACTAAGTGTTTATTTCACTCTCCATAAAGTAAAAGGCACCACAGTTTAGAAATAATGCATTCCCAGCCCGGAGTATTATGGGGAACCCATTATTTTTATTGCTTTCTGTGTAAAGGATATTTCATATTTAGGGAACGGAGCTGTTCCCAAATAAATAAGGAGGTAGGAGCTGCATTAAAGCCTTGGTGCAAAATACCCATCCAATTATGAGCCAGGCAATGCAGGAGTGCATTGCACCTGCTCCCAGAGGTTTTATAGCCCTGAGAACAATCCCTTATTTGCATGTGCAATTACTGCAGTTGCATTTGCAATTACATCAATTGTCCAATTACATCAGCTGTGTTTCCAATGAGCTAAAAGGAAAAAAAAAATACTCATTGCTCTTTGCTGTAATAAAAATGTGATTTGCATTCACAGAAAAAAAGATTTCTGTTTGCTGGGAGATGAAATTAGACTACCTTGGGGTACTCTGATTTTTTTGCATGAAGCCTAAGTATTTCTGTGATATTAAAAAAGGTTGGAGCTGTTTGATAACTTGAGACTGCACAGTAATTTCTTCTCTTGGGCCCCTGTAATTACTGTGCAGTTTTCCATTGTCATCAGAGAAATTATTTTACATTTAGAATTAATAGGACACAGTCTCGGGGCAAGATCCCTTAAAGCTTTCTTTTCCTAATAACTTAGATCATTAGGAGTCACATATATTCCATTTCTCAGAAATGTGCAAATGAAAGAAATCTGAATTCTGAGCTAGAATTCTCTTTCCAGCATTACCAGCATCTGCTGGTTCTAATAACTCCACAGGTGGTAGGAAATCCCTTAATCTGCTCATCACCAATTTCCACGTGTGAAATGAGAGCTTCTGAAAGTGCAGCAACAATCAGAAAAATATAGAAATGGAATCCTGGATTTTTTAAGTGTATGGAACATTTTTAAGTGTATGGAGGATTTTCAGCTCTTACTTTAACAGTTTAGGAATATAAAGTTTTGCTTATTTTCTTCAGCGCTTCATAAAGGCTGTGATTTTCCCTGTGCTGCAAATTTGGGCATCAGCAGAGAGGAATTTCAGTGAGATGTTCCCAAGCCTCTCCCCATCCTCACGCTGAGGTTGTGCAGGGGACAAGGGGAGCTGGGTGCTGCAGGGCCACCCTGGCCCCTGGAAATCCCTTGATTTTGGGCTGGTTTGCATTTTTGCTAAACCCACGACAGGAGGTGACTGGTGCAGACGTGGCCAAGCCACCATCCATGTGCAGCTGAACCTGGATATCCATGAAATTCTTCATGGGGATGCTGGAACTCCTGTGGAGGTCCTGCTCCCACACCCACAGGGATGAAATCTAACCCCACATTAAAACCTGAACGTTAAAGAAGAAAATAAATCTGCTTTGGTAGATGAATGTTGCACCTGGAGGAAGCAGAGCCTGCTCTCTCCTGAACAAAACAGCAACAAAACTGACCCAGCCTCTGATTTGCTTTTCCTCTCCTCGGAAACAGATGGGAAAAACTCTGGGGAAGGGAAGAGCTGGCTGTGGGTGTCATCTGTGTGTCAGCTAAATTCGGGCTCCTGGCGAGATCAGCCTAACCAGGGCAGACAGGCTCTCTCTGCTGCCTCTACACCTCGAGCTAGGGAAATAAGAAAGGTGGTTTGGCACTGCCAGAGCCTTCCCAGGCTTTGGCACTTTTAAATGAATGTACATTGATTAATGGCCTGAAAAACTGAAAATGGCCTGAAAAACTGACTCTTACAAAAGCTAGGAAAGCTTATTTAATTGCAACTTCAGGTCAAAAACTAAACAAATACCTCTGCCACAAAAGAGCAAAAACTGGAAGTGTTGAACTCCTGTCAGTTGCTCGGTTTTAACCTCGTCAGAGGCGACAGTCTCTGGCTCAGGGGTCTCCTCCTCCTGCACAGGGTTTATCTGGTATTATTTTAATGCACTGTTACCTTTCATATTGCTGCTTTCAGATGTATTTTTCTCTTTCCATTACATAACAGCACACACTGAAGTTAAACAGAAGGCAACAGCAGGAACAGATCTGTGACCAAAGCTTAGCTATTTCCACCCAAAGCTGCTGCCTCTCCCCCCACCCAGCAGACACCTCAAGCAGCTGTGCTCTAGAGAGCTCATTCAAACCACGAATTAGACCTTGGGAGGAAGTTTTTCACTGGTGAAAGCGAAATGTTTTACTTCCTTTGAAATCACTCTCCTTTTACTCTGAGATCATTAAAAGCGGCGGGATCGAACAACTGCCATGTAAAACCCAGAGCTCTCAGCTGAGTTACAGCCCCAGAAGTGGAGTTTGTGAGCACTTTCAGTAATTCCTGCACTCCAGCTGTGTTGGAGAGGTTTCCAAAGAACCCTTTATTAACGGTGAGAATGTCCCTGTGCCCTCTTCAGACGCTGAGGATGGTGCTTCACACGCCAGCGCTGGCCCTGGCACCGGTGGCTCTCTGGAGATGTTCAGGGTGCAGCTTCCTCCTTCCCTGAAGAACAGAAAAAACCCTCAGCACAAAAGAGTTAATGCCAGAATGCTGGAACTCAAAATGTCCCTCAGACAATTTTGGGTGTTCCAGGCCCAGGTCAGAAGTATTTGAGACCCTGGCAGGCAGCTGGAAACAGCTGTGATTTTGGGTTTGAGCCATGGAATGATTTACCAACTTTGCAGGAAGAACAAGAAGTCACAAAAGTTTAGATATTATAGTAGAAGCAGTCACAAAGTAGAGGGCAGAATTTTTGAGTGCTGTACAGGGGGGGTTTAACACCTGTAGAGGGGAGTTCCTGTTTTGTACATGGGGGTCAGAGGTTTTAAGATGGAGGGATTTGGGCCTGTCCTGTCCTCCCTCTTTCTCCTTCCTTACCTCCATGTTCTTGGTGATGTTGGCACTCCCAGATTGGTTTAGAGTAGAAAGGCACCATTTAATATAGGTAATGGGCATTGGGGACAAACTGTACCCATGTAACACGTAATGTCCCATATAAAAGATAGAAAAGCACCATTTAATATAGGTAATAGGCATTGGGGACAAACTGTACCCATGTAACACGTAATGTACCATATAAAAGACAGCAGCAGCCCTGGGCAGAGGGGGAGAGAAGAAGCAGTCGGGAGTCAGAGAGGATGTCAGGGTGTGTGTGTGCCTCTGCCTGAGCTGTGAGCAAACCACAGCAGCTCCAGGAGAAAATCTTTTAGATAACTTGCAATAAACTGCCTTGAGACCGGACAGCAGAGACTGCTGAGCCTTTCTTTGGAAGCTCAGGTTGGAGGAGAGACTTTTCCACCACTCAGAGCCATCCCTGACCTAGAGGTGAGCTCCAGCACCAGAACATCTTTTTACTTAGTCTGACAAAGGTACTGAGGAGCAAGAATCAGTTTTTATACTAGAAAACGGGGTAGGTTTGGAAATATTTCTGAAAACAATCATTTCTCTTTGTGATAACATTCATTCTTGTCTCCAGTCACATTTTGTTTTCGTGTGTAATTTGTGTGTAACTGTATACAGGGCTCAGATTTCAAACCTAAACAGCAAATGTTATAAATAAAGACCTTCACAGAAAAAAGAAATGCAGCAGCAAAGTGCTTTAATTTGTATTTGCCAGTTCTGGGAACAATTGCTGTGGATGAATGCCTGGCCCTTTCTGTCAGGGAAACTTTGCTATTAATTCCTCAGCCTGAGAACAATTCTCCACTTAGCAAAGAGCTTTGGGGTATTAAAGCTGGGACAGCAGTTTTACAGCAAGCATCCACAGAGGATGGGCCAGCAGAATTATTGGATGTTTGCTTGGAAGATGGAAACCCATCCCAGAGCCAGCCCCAGTCATGGCTAACATGGCAAACATCACCTGAAATTCATCAACATCCTACTGAACGATATTATTTTCATTTCTTTCCCTTGCCCAACTCTCCTGTCCCCTTTTCCCTTCACATCATCAGCTGCTTCCAGCCCAACATTTGGGTCCTACACCGGGTCTGTGTTTGAACCCCTGAGACAAATGGGTTAATTGGGCTTTAATTGGTTCCATGCAAAAACAGAAGCTCTAGAAACCACTGAGAGCTCCTGGGAGGCGCTCCCTATTTTTATGTTAAGTTCACTTTATGAGCAGCAATATAGAGGGAAGGTATTTAATTAAATAACAAGGCTTCTCTAGACATTAAACATTTGGCTTTGAGCAAATTAAATGGAAAACTTAGACCCAGTGTGGGAGAACTGGACTGACACACAAACCCACTGTGCAGTTTAGGAAACAAGCTGGAAAATCAAGAGTTCAATATTAAATGTACAGAGCTGTCCAGCACTGAAGATTTCAACACAAATCGTGGAACATTCATGACTTGGAGGATTTCTTATTTCTGACTCAGTTTCAGCAGCACTAAATGAAGGAATATTTAGTGATGAATTTGTAAAGAGGAAGCAGTTTAAAATGCTATGCATTAAGAACTTAAGTTGACCATCCCCTTTTCTTGCCCTCTGCCTTCTGAGCTCTCTTATTGGAAAACCAGATTTCCATTAATAAAATAAATTTATTTCACTCTGCCTGTTGAGCAAGAAAAAAGCTTTGTGCAACTCCCAGCTGTGGCTTTGAGATACTGCTGCTCCCCAGTTCTTGGCAACTTCTCTCCCTTATTAGCATGCCTATTTTTATAATATTTTATGGTGTCTCAGTGTCACTGGGTGCCCTGCAGAGGTTTGGTGAGCACTGTTGCATTCGTAGCTTCTTTTCTCACATTTGTGATCCTCGGAGCTGCTCGAGGTCATCCCTGAGCACAGAAAGCCGAGCTGGGTGCTGAGATTGTTTGCCAAAAATAAATATCAGCAAGAGCTGAAGAGAAACCCGAGGATGCCAGGGCTCCAGGAAAAGGGAGGGCCTGTGCAGTTATTGCTGCACAGCCCACAGGGGCAAAGGTGGACACACATCAGCCAACCCACGTCCTTCCCAAGCCTTTCCTGCACCAGCTGGCACAGAATAAATTTCCAGGCAAATCCCAGCAAAAATTATGGAAATTGCTTCTCCTACCACAGCACGAGGAAAATGCAAAGCCTGTGTTGTCCCATCCAACTGGTAGTGACAACTTTAGCACCCAAAAATAAGCTGTGAGAAAGGAGGGAAAGGAAGAACCATCTGAGCTGACTTACGTGAGTGCTTTTTTTGGCTTGGAACAGGAATTATTGCCAACAAAGCCCCACACTCTGACAGCCAAGGCCACACCAACCTGCAAAACAAAGCCCAGTGACACAGATTGAAGTTTCCTAAAAATCTGTGAAGGAAAAAATGGTGGCACATCCATGGCCCAAATCAAATTTTACTCTTGTCCTTTGTCCAACAATCAGGTGTTTGCATCGCCTCAGAACTCTGAGCACACACGATGAGAGGCAAAGTCCCATAAAACTGATTTCCCGTCTTTAACTGGAGCTTTTTGTGGTTCTCTTTGCTGGGTTTGAACAGAACTGAGCTGTGTTTGTTCAGCCCCACCACCCTGTCACCTTCACTGTCAAATCCAGTCGCTCCTGACAGATGTAGGACAAGCACCTCTCCCAGGACGACTCGCACACGGAGAGATCAGAAACACTCAGAGTGCTTCATTTGCCTTTTTATGGCAGGGCATTGCTGCCTTTTCCCTCCTTTAATTCAGCACTTTGCTCCCCCAGTCTCTGCTTTGACAGCGCTGCTTCATTCAGCAAAACCCCAAGCCCCCCTTGCTTCCCCGTGATCTGCAACTTAACAATACATATGCAAATGAAATTAGTGCTGGCAAAAATAATTATAGTTGCTCATGGGAGGATTAATAACTGAAGCCTGCCCTGCTTAAGCTGGGGTTTAATTCTGTTATAGGCACTAGAAGAAGTTAATTCTGCGTTCAGTGCTGTGTGTGGTGTTTAGAGGTGTTGAGTGAATGTCGAGGTAATTAGGTGGAGGGGAGGGGAGGGGGTGTGGGGATACATCCCTGAGCCTTGTACAGAGAAAATCATGGACTCACAGAAAGGCTGGGACTGGAAGGCACCTTAAAGACCATTTAGCTCCAACCCCATTCCATGTTCAGGAAATGTTCCATCAGAACAGGTTAATCAGAGTATACAACCAGCCAGTATACAACCAAAAATGTTATATATATATATATATATATATATACACACATACATATACACATACATATCTATACAGAGAGACATATAGGGATATATATAAATCTATTACAATCCACTAGTGCTGATTAGCTGCTGGATGAATGAACAGCACAACCTTTTTCTCCTGGATACACCCCCGGCCATCCATCATTTGAAAGAGAACAGGATTGACTCATTCCTACCAGGTGCAATGATGCTGTATAAACCCTGCCCTCAGGCTGGGAGTATTTAATAAAAGAACAAGCTCCTTTTTATACAACATTTGTGGGAACAAATCAAACTTGGAGCGGGCTGAAAATCCCTCCCTCGTTACAGCACAGCTCTGCTCTGGCTGGGGAAAGAGGGAAGGGAAGGACACCCACCAAAAACAGGTTGTTGTGCTAAATACCATCTCTGGTGAAACACTGGAAAGCTTAACATGCTTAAAATTGTTGCAGCAATTTAAAATCAAGTTACAAGTTAATCAAATAACATCAGCTTTGCCTCATTTCAGCCCTGGAACAAGCACTAAATTGTGGATTTTAAACAAATGTGAGCACACGTCTGCAGCAGGTCATGTCCAACGTGGATGTGTGTTCCTTGGCTCCATAAAACTTTCATATTTTCCACCTGGATGTTGTTTTCATTGGAACGCTCCCAGTTTGAGTTTGCTGGCTCCAGAAGGGGGGCTGATTGATTTTTATGCTAATCCTAGGTGAAAAGCAGCTGTTGTAGCCACGGTTTGCACTCGGCTAATCCAGCTCATCAGGGCTGTAAACAGGCAGATAAAACCGGGGGATTTCAGCCTGTAAGGTGCTTAATTCCTGCAATCCGGGGGTTTCCCTGGTGCCCACCTGAGCTGGGATTTGCACCCCTGGCCGGGCTGGGGCAGAAAGGATGGAAGGGCTTTCCCAGCCAGCTCTTCCCAAGGAGGAGAATTCCTTAGGATGGGAGGGCAGCACCCTGTTCACTGCTGCTGGATTCTGCAGTTTGGTGGATGGACAGGGCTTGGAGCAGCCTGGGACAGTGGGAGGTGTCCCTGCCATGGCAGGGTGGCACTGGGTGATCCTCAATGTCCCTTCCAGCCCAACCCAGCCTGGAGCATTTCCTCCTTTCTCACAGGCAGAGAAATGCCAATCTCCTCCCTGGGGTCAGCAGACAGTCACAGCTCTCTCTTACATCCCTCCTTCTCCTCCCTTTGAGTCCAGGCCCTCCCGATGGGTCAGAGGCTCTGCCAGGTCACTCTGCCCGGTGGGACAGTGCCAAGAGGCCAAGCAATGACTTGGCTTTCCTCAGAGCCAGCTCATCCTCCGACTGCTTTCAGAGCTAATTGAGCTGGAGGAGTTTCATTTACTGCCTTTAGCAGCGATAGAAAACTGCTGCAGGTTTTGCCAATATCCATTAATGAGAATAACTTCAGAGCTCATTTTTGTCTCAGATATCCAGATTGATTCCTGAACACAAACCCACCAGCTGACAGCACTTAATAGTTATTGCTTCTTCCTTTTTTCCCCCCACAATACAAAAAAAAAAAGTTTTCCTCACTTTATTTTTAAAGCTGAAACTTAAAGGAATCTCAGAGAAAGGAATACTCAGACAAATTTCATTGTCCACCATCAGTATTCAAGACATTTCATTTATTTATTCATCTCCTCACTGTCAAACAAATGCACCTTCACAGTTTCCTGCATTTATAAGGACAAACTTAAAATTATTTCCTCTGTTTTCCACGTGGCTTTTCTCATGATTAATTTGTTCAGACTTTCAGACAAAAACACCTGCATTTATCTCCTCTGGCCAGGTGGAAGGTACTTATCCAACTGTGCATGAAATAAACAAACATACCCGTTACTGCCTGAGGAAAAAAATCTTCTTTCTAACACAACTTCCAAATTGCTAAAGATGCTTGAAGAAATAATTTTTTAAAAAACCCAAAATACTCATTTTTGTGATATTTTTGTAATGTAATGTGACCAGCAGGCCAAAAAGCTGACCTTTGACATCATCTGATACTGTTCCTAGTGAAAATGGCCTGAACACAATCCCAGGATCATCGAGGTTGGGCAGGACCTCCAAGCCCATGGAGTCCCACCTTGTCACCAGCCCAGGGCACTGAGTGCCACCTCCAGGCACTCCTTGGACACCCCCAGGGCTGGGGAATCCACCTCTTTGGGACACACACGCCCCACATGAGCCTCATGCTGAATTTCCTCCTTCCCCTGGAGAAAAAACTCTTGTCAGAGGTGCTAAACACTGTCAGCAGCAGCAGGTCCCTGTCGTTCTGTCACTGCACTTCTCCCTGTGACAGGGGGTAAAAGCCAACCTCCACTATGATTTAATTTTACTATTTAATTGCATTAAGATTACTTCTTAAAACCTTAACAAAACAGATTTAATACAGATGTTAAATGGAAGTGCAGCAGGGATAAAACTGAGGGCTGTTACCAGAGAAGCTTCAGCAGCAGAGGGTTATGGTATTTTTAGTGCCTTATTAAAACAGCACAGATAGGAACATTTTCAGGGACATCTTGTCACATAAATTACTGGACCATTACTTTCATACATTGTACACTATATAAAACGTTAATAAACCTTCAAAAACAGCTCTACATTATAGAAACATATTTCATATTCCATAAAATATTTGGAAGGTCAGGAGAAGCACCTGGGGACCAGGGATGCTGCTGGAGCCAGGAGAGGACATCGCAGGTGGGAGCAGCTTCAGCTTCACAAAGCAAATCACAGCATGACCCTACAGGGAGCAGGGGAGCAGGGTGGGCTCAGCCCAGGGTTCTCAGCCATTATTGAACCAGAACATCATTTCTCACCAGATAACATCCATCAGATAAGATATATGAGCCTCAGACAGGTCCAAAATATGTGCTGTGGTTTTCTGGAGTAGCTAAAAAGCAAAACAATTCCAAGTTTGGGCTGTTTCTTGTTTGGCTCAGCATGTGAAAGCCATTGTCCTCACTGTGCTCTCCTGAGGAGGGTCATAAATCAGGTATAAAAGCCACAGCCAGAGCTCCCTCCCAGTGCTGCTGTAATTCACAGAACCCTTGCAAGGCTGTGCGAGTCCCTGGGGTTTGATTTAAGAGCTCCCATAACCTCCTGGAGCCACAGAAAAACTCTGGGTGAACTCAGCCCTGTCTGGAAGAACCCCTTCAAACTGTCCCAAATCCAGCTGGGGATTCCAACACCACAGACAGCAAAACCATTTTACTCACCAGAGACTTTCTTATGGGCTCAAAGGATGGTATTTGAGGTTGGGCAAGCACCAAAACCTCACACTGCTCCAGCCAGGAGTTCTGGGCATTCATTTGTCACCAAGGGCACCTCCTGAAGGCCAGCACTGATGTGCCAAGTGCTTGGCAACTGCACAGGGACAGAAAATAAAACCACCACAAAACTATGAATTATTACTGGAATTCACTGTTCCACTACTCTCCCTTAATAAGAGAAGGGAACAGCAAAAAGGAAAATTATAGAATAAATCAAACATAGAATGGTTTGGCCTGGAAGGGACTTCAAATTTAATTCCAGCCTCTGCCATGGGCAGGGACATCTTCCACTCGACCAGGTTGCTCCAAGCCCCATCCAGCCTGACCTAAATATCAAATAGAATATTATAGCCCCCCCAGATCACTTACCCCCACAAACTGCAACATTTTGCCAAGGAAATTGTGAAAAGCTTCACTCCAGCCCAGCACAGGGCTGTGTAGCACTGGGTACTCACTCACATTTCCTGTGCAGCAGCAATTCCTGCTCCCAGCCCTCTGCAGAAGCAGGGTCTGCTCTGATGAGAGATCACCACACAAAGAAAGGTTTAGAAATCTGGCACAAAATCCACAGGTTGGGTTTCTTTCCCCCTTTGAAAACTGAAGACTGACAAAGCCAACTCCAAGCCAAGAAATGGGAGGGATTGCTTGGTTTAAATTCTCCTGTTCTGTACCTGTAAAAGAATAAATTCTTATATTAATCAATTAGGTAAAACCAGGAGGACAACAGGGCTCCCTGCACTGGTTTGTGAAGAACCAGTCTCAGCTGCTGGGATGTTTCAGCAAAATCATCTCTCTTAGTGGTTGACACAAAGCCATTTTAGAGGGAAAGAGCATCAGAACCAAGCCCAGATGTTGCTCCAAAAAAAAGGAAATGTCTTTTCATTACTTTTGAGCCCATTTCTTCCCCAGCAAACATCTGATGGTGACAATTGTTCATGGCTGATATCAGTGGATTTAAGCTGCAAGGAGTGAGAACTGGATGATCCCTGTGGGTCCCTTCCAGCTCAGGATGGTCTGTGATATTTAAATCTGATATTTAAATCCCTGGATTGCCCAGGTGGGTGCAGAATTCAGGCATTTCCATCCTGCTTCCCTCAGCCAGGAGCCCTCAGTGAAGCCGGAGGGATTTTCATTCTGTAGAGACATCGAACTCCTCACTCCCACTTTCAGAATGCCTGAAAGAATTTTATATTTTCTATAAAATAATAAGCAAATATTCAAAAATCCTTTTCTAACATCCCCTTTTCTGGTGCTTACAGCTCTCCATCAGCTCCACAAACACCAAACAGGGGTCCAGGACACAGCCAGGGGACAGGCAGGGACAGAATTCCTGCTGCTCCCATGGACTCGCTGACTCACTGGTGGAAGCTGCTGGAGAAGGCAATAAAAGCCAAACAGATAATGGCTGCACTGTAGAGAAAATGTTCAGCAATTAAATTAAAATGGAAGATCTTTTCTATGTGCCACATTTGCATCTTCTCACCAGGCAGCTAAAAAAAGCCCCATAAAGAAGTAAAGAAAATATTTAAAGTTTACTTTACAAAGTGCTGAGAAAAATGAAGTCTTGCATACATGGTTTTATTTATGAAAGTGGAGAAACTAAATGTATTTTTGGGTAGGAATTTTAAAAGTGTTAAAATTAGGCATTTAGGCACTGGAAAAGTGTTCCAGAAGTAACACAGCATACCAAGATTATCTACTTAATGGGGTTCCAAAAATAAATTGAATTAAAATTTTGAAGCTTAGGTAAAGTGCATTAAACACTGATAAATTAATAACATGTAACATGGAAATTAAATAGGAATTCTGCCTTCATAGCAAACACACACTTCACCTCAAATAGACAAAAATTAAAAGCACCTTGAATATTGATCACATCTTCATATCACACTGGAAAAACTATTTTTCTGCATTATATTCTCATTATAGTCACTAAAATTAATGTATAACTATCAGAGAGAGAAAATATTAGGAAAAGGGAACCTGTAATAGTCTTCTTAGGAATTGTATTAACTAATTAATCCTGAGAAGCAACAGTGTCACTCAAGTCATAACAATTTCAATTTGAGCTCCCAAAGAGCTTCCTGCCACTCTTTATTTCTCATGAGTTAAGCGTTTTTTTGGCCAAATGCTGACATTCCCTTTCACCCTCTTTTACCTTGAAACCAGCCCCCTTTCCTTCACTCTCTGCCTGTGAAGAAATTTGCTTTCCTTCTTTTCTCTAAGCCCTCTTTAACTCCTGGAAGGGGACTTAAGGTCTCCCTGGAGCCTTCTGGAGCAGCACAGCCTCACACCTTTAAACCACACAGGTTTCTGACAGAGAAGAATTGCAGATTTCTTTCGTGTCCTGCAGAAGGTAAATAAAGAAGGGGACACCCTGCAAACACCACTTGCACTTGCTGAGTTTGTTTACTCCCAGATCCAGGATGCTGCAGGTCCCAGGGCTGAGGATTAGCAGCAGCAAAGGACAAGGACAAAGGGTCTGGGCTGAGTTCTGGGACAAACAAACCCATCTGAAACCTCGCAGAATAAATGCAAATGAGCAGCTCTGTATCTAAATATTGGCTTTCAAAACAAAGGCTTACTTGGATTATTCAGGTAATTCAAATTATCAGGGCACTGACAAAGGGAATTCCTGGGAGCTTTGGCTATCAACTGAAGGAAACAGAGTGGGACTCTCAAAGTGGGTTAAAAAGTTCAGCAGAGCTGTTCAAACACTGTGTGAGATGCAAAGGTTCACAGGCACTAAAAAAGCTGGGTCTGTCACTACAGGACCTTGCAATAGGGCACACCACATTCATACACACAAATACCTACATCACAAAAATGTCTTTTTCATAATACAGAAATTACCAAGTGCCCAGAAGCCAGCTCATAAAGTAGGGATATTATTAATTTGTAATATCTTGGATTTAATTTGATTAAAACACTCCTTGCTGTGGGAGTAGCTCAGAAATGTGGCTGGGCATTGGACACCCCAGCCCTGAGCCCTGTTGTTCCCTTGGGGAGTGCTAATGACATTTGATTGCTCAGACCTTTGGAATTCCAGAGCTCTGTGCCCCAGCTGAGCCCCCAGCCTCCCCAGGAGTGTTTGCTCAGGAGATGGATGGGACAGGAGCACAGGAGAGGCTGTGAGCCTGAGCCCCCATCCCTCCTTCAGCCAGGGACTGCTGAGAGTTCCCAACCTCCTCCTTGGGATGGGCAGCAGCTCCCCAGGGATCTCTCAGCACATCCAGACAGAGAGAGGGGCCCGGGGGTTCTGGAGCTCGAGCACCGGGCCAAGCTGAATTTACAGCTGCACGTGCAAGTGCTGCCCAGTGCAACCAGAGCTTGCCTCTGCAATCCCAGATGGAGTGTGCCTAATGTGAAGGCTGTACATACATTTTTAACAGCTGCTGCAATAGTGACATCCTCTTTTTCAAAGGAATTTGTGCCCCGGTGGGAGAAATTCCGTGTGATTCCGCAGACACTTGGGCACTTCTGGAGCTCTGCTGTTGTATCATCATTGATCTCAGCCTTCCACTGTGACATAAAACCTGATCTTGGACATGAATAGCTCTGAGAAATACCAGCAGATTTGAGATTGTGCACATTGTATTTAATATTAAATAAAGCTCAACATTTCCCTCTTTCTTCCTCTGCTGCTTTATAGATCCAATAACCTTTATCTGCATTCCAGATGTCAGGAGAAGAGGAGCTGCTGTTTGCAAAGCATTTGCAAATGAAAAGCATTACATAAATGTAAGGTAAGCTATTATTGCTATAGTTCCTTGAAGCTGATAATACCATTACACCCCCAGGGATGCTGGGCAGCCTCTCATAATGAAGTCTAATTCAGCACAGTGAATAATGGAATTATGCAGAAGCAACAGTTTCCTCTTCTCCTTGGACTAACTGCACTCAACGTGGCTTTCTCTGTTCTTCTCACACACCTGTGCTGCTTCCAGCAGGACATTGTGTTCTGGGAAAACAAGCACTCCCACAAATATTCAAAATGCAAATGAAAAACCTTTGCTGCTTTAGATTATCCTTTGAAACGTGGCATCAGAAAGAAAAAAAATAGGGTTTTATGGATTTAAACAGAAAGAGTGAGTTTAGATTGGATTCATTAAATTAATTGTTCCCTGGGAGGGTGGGCAGCCCTGGCACAGGTGCCCAGAGCAGCTGGGGCTGCCCCTGGATCCCTGGAAGTGCCCAAAGCCAGGCTGGACAGGGTTTGGAGCAGCTGGGACAGTGGGAGGGGATAGATCCTTAATGTCCCTTCCCACCCAGAGCAGTCTGGGCTTCTGGGATTATTTGTGGGGAAGTGCACCCAGCCACCAGTGCAGGGCTGGCACACAGAGCCTGGGTCAGCCACAGTTGTGACAGACACAGAGATTTTTCTAACCACATGAAATTTTGGACTTTTTAAGTAGTGCCAAGCTCAGAGGCAGAAGGTTACATAGGATTAAAAACATCAGTAAATTATTTTCCTACCTTAAGATCATTGAAACTTGTGCCTGTAGAGACATTACACAAAGATTTCTGTATTAAATGCTCTATTGCCTTTGTCTCTAACTTGTTTTTCCTTTGCCTTTTTAGTGCATGAAATAATTTTCAAATCATTAGATACAATAAATTCTTCTAGATGTTTACCACATCCTTGGAGGTCTGCATCCTTATCTTCCTCCACAATTTTCCTTTATCCAATCTGAAATCTAAATCATAAAAATAATAACCAGGAAACAACATTAAAATCTCATTGTCCTCTCTGCAAAATCCATGATATTTAACTCAGTTCTCTGTGACCACCTGCTGCTGTACATTTTCCCCACAGAGAAATGACTAGAAGTTATTTTATGAGGATTTTTGGTTTCATAAGAGTAGAATTGCAGAGTAAAAGAGCTCTAGGAGGAATTGCCCCCTAAGATCAGCCCAACCCCTGCAGCAGCTCAGCTCTGAGTTGTGCCATCACTGTACCTGCCCTGCTCAGGTGGGATCTCTGCCTCGCTCCTCCCACACACACACAGGATGGGGATTGTCCCCAAAAGGACCATATGGATATGGTGCCATGGTAGCTTTCAGCATGACAAACCTCAGAGAAAACAGCCACAAGATTCAGAGCTCCCTTGTATAGAATATATTTCTAAAACCTATGACGTTACCTTGAGGGAGTAGAAGTTAAACTGGATTTTCAGCCGTGGCAGACAGCACATTCCTGATCCATTTACCTCACGGAATGAAACACCATACTAAGGATGGCAGGAAGAAAAACACAAAGGAATTATTTCACTGCTCACAGAGCCAATCTGAGAGCAGGGTGGTGACCACCCTGAATGTGTGGCCAGCAGCACCCCTGGTGCAGAGTCCAGCTGGGGGAACACCCAGCCCTGGGCAGCCCAGCGAGCACAGAGCTGTTTCTCTCAGCGTTTTGCTCAGCTGAGATTGAGAGGCACAGAAAGGAGGAGCTGCCTTCCTGACACAGCTCTTTGGTGGGGCAAAGCACTCACAGTCAGCAGCCATAAATCACAGCTCTGAAGCAGCCAGGCACACAGAGTGCTGGGCATCCTTCGCACACCTCAGGGTATTCTCCAAAGGAGCACACACACAGCAACAGAAGGGAAAGGGCTGTGACAAGAAGAGAGATTTCAGATATATTTAAGAATACCTGAAAAAGCCTGAATATGACACCCCTCCTCAGCTGTTACCCTTTTGATAAGAAACACTATTGTTTATGAGAAATTAAAACCAGACATCCCCAGCCCTAATCTTCACTGAGGTCAGTGTCCATCGGCCTCCACACACACACCCGTGGCTGCAGCAAACAGGAATTTGGGCTATAAAGGAGTGTACTGGGTTTTTTCAGCACGAGTTTCCCATTTCATGCCCATTCCATTTTCTGTTACAGAATTATTCCCACAACCACAGAGATCTACCACATCTAAAAGCACAGCGTGCGATCAAATTAATTTTTGAATGTGGAGGAGATCAGGGACTCTTCACTGCAAATTTCGGAGGCGAGCTCAGTTCTGAGGTGCATAACAAGATTCACAGCACTCCTCTAACAACACAGATCAAACGTTTACTGCAGATGCACTGGAGGCCACGAGGAGACCCAAGTGCAGCAGCTCCACGTGCACCTGCACTCCCTCCCTGCAGCACCTTTCTTTCAGGGAGAAAAAAACCTCGTTTATTTGAAATATGTTTATCCTACCTTGCTGCAGGCCAGCTCTCTTCAGGATTTCCTTTCTCCTTGTGGCACCCTAGCTGAATTTTAGAGGTGATCTCTCCACGCTCCCCTCTCTGGATGCTGTCCAGGAGCTCAGCACAGCTCTCCTGTGCCAGTTGATGTGCCAGCGTTACAGATGTCTTCTGCCAGGGGAACACACCGTGCCAGCCCCTCCTGCTGTTTGCAGATGTTCTGTAAGTGCTCACCAGTGATGAGAACCTGGAAAAATCCAGCAGCAACATCTTGGGATAACGGGTGGCTGCAGTTTGCAAACTGCCATCCGAGGTGGATAATGGACTTGGCAAAGCATAAGCTGGAAGGCATCAGAGTGTTCACACAAAGCAGACTGGAGGCCATTCCACCATCCAAAAACTGCTGGCTTTGGCACCCAGCCTCCTCTGCAGCCAGACAACCCCGGGGGAGCAGCACATGGGCACCTTGAAGGACAAGTTCACAACTTCAAGTGAGACCAGCTCCAGTTTTTAAGTTTTTACCAGGAGTTCATGGCTCAGTGCAGAGCTGGGATGATGCCCAGCACTCGGTGCCCCCAGGGGAAGCAGCACAGCCTGGCACAGCACCCGCCAGGGCTGGGGATCCTACTCCAGCTGCACTTCACCGAGTGCATCTCCCATCGTGCCTGTCCCACTTACAGCATCACAGTCTGATCACCACAGGAGAAATCCTGCAGCACCTCTGATGCTCTGCTCCAGCTGCAGGTGCCTGCACTGCTCAGAGTGCTGTGTGCTAACTCAGAAACATGGAATCACACACTGCCTTGGCTTGGAAGGGACCTGCAATCCTGTCCAGGGCCACCCCTGCCGTGCAGGGACACCTCCCACTGCCCCAGCTGCTCCAGCCCCAGTGTCCAACCTGGCCTTGGGCACTGCCAGGGATCCAGGGGCAGCCCCAGCTCCTCTGGGCACCTGTGCCAGGGCCTCACCACCCCCACAGGGAACAGTTCCTTCCCAATATCCCATCTAAATCTACCCTCCTTCAGCTGAAAGCCATTATTTGTTACTTCATAAGAAACTTCTTCTGTTCAAACACCTCCTTTTCATTCTGCCTCGCTGCATGGAGTCAAAGAGCTGTGATCACCCCTGGAACAGCCATTCCTTTGCCTTGCTCTGGCCTCTCATGCAGAGCAATTTTTTATCTCCATTATTTAGCACTTACAGCATTGGATACTGTTTTCCAACACAGAAGAAGAAGAAAACCAGTGAAACAGGAAAGAAAGGAGAAAAGAGAATTCCAGGTCTGGGTTATTAGATGCCAAATTCCTACCCAGAATAAATTTTCACAATGGATCACATTGCAAATGCTGACAGACTCTTAATTGGAGCTCCAGCGAGCTCACGCACAGCTACAGAGCATCCATTTGGAAATGTCTTGTTTAAAATACATTGAGGTTATTCAAAGCAGATATTGATATTCTCGTGTAGTACGAGATGCCAACAACGCCTCGCAGGCATCTCGGAGCAGCAGAATCCTTTCCAGCAGCAGGTGGGATGAAATGCTGACAAATGGGGTGGAAGCAGCACACAGGAATAAACTCTATAATATCCTATTTGTTTCCCCAGCCTGGCTGCTGGTGTTGTTATTTCTCAGGGCTGGCAGCTGTGAGCAGCTCCTGTCATGCCCAGCCTCACAGGGCAGAAAAATCCCTCCTCGAGGGATGGACTCGGACCGTGTCAGCTTTAGCAAGATCCAAGATGTAAAAGCCTCACTCAAGCAGAATGAAATAGGAAAAAAAAAAAAAAATCAAAAAATTGACACCAGGTTTTCAAAGCCTGTCAATTACCAAAAAAAAATAGTTATTTTGTTCTACAAATCTTGTCTGGGACCCATGCAGGGAGGACTTAAAACACCTAGAGAGAATGTCTTGAGGAGAAGCAGCTCCTTGCAGAGCTCTGATTCTGCACACTTCGGGCTCAGTGGGAGCCCTGCCAGTTCCTCGGCTCGGCCGGATTTTGGCCGGGTACCATGGCAGGTTTGCTCATCATTTATCATTATGTTGTCTCAGCTCGTGTTGCCTTAGCCATGAAATGAGACAATAAATATTTGCCTCCCTCCCACAGCTGGGGGGAGGTTTAATAAGCCGAGGCCTGCTCGCTGTCTGTGGGAATGCCAAGTGTGGAATTGCCTTGGGCTGGAGGAGCAGCACAGCAGTAAATGCAAAGGTTGGGTAAAGTGAGCTCCAAATGACCTCTGAGAGGTTCCCTAATCCATGGCTGCTCCATCACGGAAAAGGGCTTTGGGTTGTCACCCCACACAGCAAACAGACAGAGGAGTCAAGGGCACATTGCCCCGAGTGCCAAACGTCCTTGAATGGAAGCTGAGCTCTATTTGGGATTATTTTCATTCAGAAATCACAGCATCCCAGAACCCCTGAGGCTGGAAAAGCCCTCCCAGCCTACAGAGTCCCAGCTGTGCCCAAAGCCCACCTTGTCCCCAGCCCAGAGCCCTGAGTGCCACCTCCAGGAATTCCTGGGACACCTCCAGGGATGGGCACTCCAACCCTCCCTGGGCAGTGCCAATCCCTGACCACCCTTTCCATGGGGAAATTCCTGCTGCTGTCCAGCCTGACCCTCCCCTGGCACAGCCTGAAGCCTTCTCCTCTTGCTCCTGGTGGCAGGAATGCTGCTCCCTGCCAACACAGGAAGGTAAAGTCAGACCAGAATCTTTATAAACAGCCTTCTGCCTTCTTCAGTAAAATATTTTCCATTTTTTCTCTAAGCTGTGAGCTTCTTGGCACCCCATTTCTCCACTGCAGCACCTCCTCACAAATGCTGTCCATGGAGAGGAACCTGGATTTGCTCAATGTGAGCTAACAAACAGCATTTGTTACAGATCCTGAGGACACGTTTCTCCTCCCAGCTTTGGGGAGACATGGAGGGGGGACAGGACACAATGGACATTGAGAATCCTCACTCTTTCTGCAAAATAAATTAAGCTGAGGAGAAAATGAAGCACTTTTTGGTGAATTTCCAGAAGGGGGTTATGAATAATGCTCTTTGAATTCCAGGATGAAAAATAACTGAGCACAAGAATCAGGATTCTTGTGTCAAGCTGATTCTTTCAGCAAAGGAAGCAGAGAACATTCATTCTCTCTGTGCTGGATGCACTGAAAGCCTCATCTTTAGGGAAAACATGGGTGCATTTTCACCTTGCTAGAGAAATATTAAAGGGAAAACACCCTCGGTGTCCTCTGTAGTCCTCCTCAAAATCCACGGGCTGCCACAGCTCAGAAAACTGCCAGGTACCCACAGGCTCTGCTCTCCTGGAACCACTTCACTCTGAAGTGCTTCTCCTGCATTTCCACAGCAATTAAATTGAGATTTATGACTCAGATATCCAGAAAAGCTGTTCCACAAGCGATTTCAACTCAGGTTTAAGCACAAACACTCAGAACATTCCCAGACCCCTTGTGTTTAGCATGCCACAGCCTGACCAACACAATCCAGAATAATGCAGTCAGATCCATTTAATGGAGTGAGAGTCTCAGTTTGTGGGTTGAAGGGTTAAAATGTCTTCAGCCTCTGCTTTACTCAAGCACAGAATTTTAATGCTGCCTCAGAGCAAGCATCACTTATCTTGTCTTTTACTATTGCAGTTCTTAAGTCTCACTACAATCATTTGATTACACTACAAGATGTGCATGTAATGCTCAGTATTACCTGTGGGTTTCTGAAACAAAAATCACATTTTATGCATTTTTACATCTCTAAATTGCGCTTTTTTGTTGCTGTAGTAGAAATCCCACTCACTCAGAAGCAGTTTGCCTTTGAGGGGAGCAAGGACAGATTATTCCCCAATGCTGGTGTGCCCTTGCACAGAATTCAGCTGAAAAGTTTCCCAAATATTTGGGGTCAACTTCAGAGAAGTGTTTTCTACTTTGCAGGATAATAAAGTCCTTTGCAGTAACAACATGGGACTAAGTGACAAATACGACTTAATCAAGGAAAAATCTATTTCAAACAGAAGACAAATTGCCTCGGGCCTCAGTAATTATCTCCCCGGGATTAATAATCAACTCTAATTTAATAATTGGCTTAATATATCCTTTTTCAAATTTTCAATAATTAACCTGCAGTCTCTCAAAAACAATATTCCCAGGCACTTCACAGAATCACGTTATTGAATGAAAATAAAGTTAGATAAGCTGTCACTGGATTAAAAATCAAAGGGTAAAGTCTAATCCTTAGAAGGCTTTCACAACACACAAACGTGCAGGGAACAGGTACAGGAGTGCTGTCATCCATGTGTGGGACCAGCAGAGGAGATGCTGCAATGTCTAAACCCAGGCTGTAAAATCAAGGCAGGTTAAGCTCTGGGAGCAGTGAGGGGAGTGTGCAGCCCCACATCCCAAACCCCATTCCCACAGCACACACTGGCATGTCCTGCATGCATTTGGAAGTTTGGTTGCCATCAGAGTCCACTCAGTGTTCCCTCCTGGCCAGCAAGGACAGTGCATCATGAAAAGCTGAATTTATAAAATGTTTTCACGCCAGAGCAATGCAGGGGCTGCCAAAGGCCGGGAAATAATAATCAGCTGATGTTGGGAAAGTGTTGGCCCTTCTGCAGTGGGGTCTGGCCATTTTAAATACATTTATGGCTGAACAGCTGAAGGTCACCCCTGGATATTTCTTTTTCTTACACAGGAACTTCAAGCCACACATTATCTCCTGTGTGGAAGAAGATTTGATAGAGCCTTTAAAGATGCTCACCTCAAGGCTCAAACCCTCAGTCTGTGGGGTCTGATCTACTGCAATCTCTGGGGGCTTCTCCAACATTTTCCAGACCTGCCTGATGGTTCCTGACACTTGTGGAGGTGCCCATCTGGAGAGCCTTTCGTTCTACAGCTTTGATATCTGCTGCTGTTGACTAGAAAATCTCATTCTGAAAGCAAATCACAACGCAGAACTTCACATGGCTTTTCAGGTGTCGCACATTAGCTTTAAATCTGCTGAGAAATGGGTTTTCCTTTGATAAAATACCAATCCTCTCCACCAGCATGACACGAAGTGCTCTGATTTCGCTTGGCCCTTTCATTCCCAGGGCAGGGAGGGCTCCACGCTGCTCCAGGGGGATGGGAGCTGCAGCTCCCAGTGTGGCACAGGGACACAGCAGGCAGGGCAGCTCAGCTCCATCAGCCTGCCTCTCTCACACTTCCATAAAGTAATTGCAAAGCTGAAAAGCTGAGCTGGAAATAACAG